CGTCCCTCCTCTACAAACTCGTCTTCAGCGGCACGACTGTGCTCGTCTGCTTTGCCGCCTTCATTGCGACGTTTTTCTTCTTCCGCCTCGTTTGCCTGCCATCCCTCGCGTTGGCAACGGTGGGGCTTGCGGTGAAGCTGCGTGCGTGTACTGTAACCAGTTGGGTGTTGGTGTTTCTCCTGCAGGTGGTGCTGCAGGGGCTGCACGTGTACTGGTTTGCGCTGATTGTGAGGCTGGCGGTTCGGACGATTTTTGGTGGCCCGCTTGCGGACATCCGTTCCGACGACGACGAAGACGACGAGTATGGCGCATTGTGCCCAGAAATGTAAACTTATATACTGTCTCGATTACCATCACCCACTTGCATTGGGTTTTAATGAGCTTGTGTTTTTAACCTTTTCTTTTTCTGCTTAGTTCTGCATAGGTCGGAGTTTGTTTGTTTTTTTGTTTTGTGTATGTTTTTTTGATGGCGTTTGCTTTTTTGTTTTGTCTGCGTATGATGTCTTTATTTGCCGCATGCGTGATTCTGAGTTGGCGCGGCTTCATTGCTAGCGTTTGCTATGTGTTCTTCTTTCTTGTGTTTTGTTGTTTTTTTCTTCTTGTACGCTCTCTGCTTTGGCCGCCTCCGCGACGTTTCCCCGTGCCCCGCCGCTCCCCACATGCGCCTGCGGCTGTCACCCTTTGCCCTTTGACGTGGACGGTTTATGCACCTTCTTGTTTTCTTCCTACTCTTCTCTTATCTTTTTGTTTCTTCTTCGCTGGCGTTAGCGCCATGTAGACTGTGAGGACGCATGAGCCGCAGGCGCCTCGTGGCGTGCGCCGCCGCGGTTGGGGAAAAAAGCGGCGCCGCCCAGATTCGCCGCAGTGACTGGGCGGCGAGGAACGTTGACAGGGCCACCGGGGCGGGCTGCTCTTCTCAGAGCGTGCCTGCGTATTGGGTTTGCTTCCTTGCAGGCTGGCGGCGTTGGTGCGTCGTGGCTCTCTCCTTTGCAGGCGCGTTTGCCGTCTGCCTCGCCGCCGTGCTGTGTTGTCGCGCGTGCTCCCCGCATCCTCCCCGCGATGTGGTTTGGGCTGACGATGTCCGTCTTTCTTTCTATTTCTCTGTTTTCGTCGTGGCGAGGGAGGGGGAGGAGAAGCGAAGAAGGGAAAAGTGGTCCTGCAGCGCCATGTGGCGACGTCTTACTCGCAGTCCGCCGGTGGTTCCTTTGCGTGCGTGCGTGGCCCGCGTGCATCTTGCCGCGGATGCAGCGCGGCGCGGGGGCGGGGGAAGACGCAGGGCCCGCGTGTTGGAGATGGGCGCCGCCGCCTCACGCACGGCCGACGAGGCACTCGTGTCCGCAGGGGCAACGGCCGCGCCGGGCCCATCGTCGAAGGCTGCGGCGCCGTTGCGAGGCCACAGCGAATTGCAGGGACGGGAGGAGGAGGAGGCGGCGGTCATGAGCGCCCACGACCCCGCGGCGGTGGTGCGGCTCGACTCCCGCAGGCGTCAGCTTCACCTGAGCCCCGTTCAGCGGGAGTTGATTTGGGGCGCGCGGCGGCGGCAGTATCAGCAGTTGCTGCTGCGCATCGTGGCCTGCATGGAGTCCCACCTCTCGCCCATTGAAAAGTGCCACGCGCTGCTGGCCCTGCACGAAGAGGTCATTGCGAAGCGCCTGCGCCTGCGCGCTGACACGTACGAAGACATCTTTCACGTTTTCTACGCCGTGGCGACGCTGGGCAGCGCGGCCCCCGCGTTGGCGGAGGAGGAGCTCGTCGACCGTCGCGGCCTGACCTCCTCCTCGTCGAGCCTCCTGCCGGCGGAGTTTGCAGGCGCCGGCGTGGCGGCCGCCTCGCTGCTCGCGGGTCCGCTGCTGCAGAGCCTGTGGACGATGTACCGCTACATGATTGACAGCGGCACCAACCCGACGCCGCGCGCGGTGCAGCACGTGATGGGCGTACTGGAGCGCCGCGGCACGCGGGACGCGGTTGTGGAGGCGCGCGCCCACTCCCTCATGCTGGACCTCGACCGCTTCCACCTGGCGCCGACGGAGTACACCGTCGCCGCCTACGTCGGGGTGTGCGACAGCAACGGCGTGATGCACCTCGCCGTGGCCCGTGTGACGGACTACCGCGTCCGGCACGAGCGACAGGTCTCGCCGGGCGTCTACGCCCGCCTGCTCTTTGGGTTGGCGCACAACCAGCAGTACGAGGAGGCGGTCGCGTGTCTCACGACGCTGGGCAGCGTGGCCGTGACCCCGCACCTGCTCAACGCCGTCCTGCACGTCGCCCGCCACTCCCGCAGCCCGCTCTCCGCCTTCAGCTTCTACAGGAGTGTGACGGGGCGGCGGGGGGGCGGCGTGGCACCGACGCCGCACACCATCTCCATCCTGCTGGAGGCCATGTGCGTGACGGGGTGCTACGACGAGATGGACTTCCTCCTGCGTGAGATGCGGCGGCACAGGGTGCGGGGGGGCAAGCTGACGCTAAACCGGCTGCTGGAGGTGCTGCTAACGCTAGGGCGGCGGACGGAGGCCGTGGCGCTCTGTGCAGCGATGGACAAGAAGGGTGTCTTGGTGTTTGACGAGCTGCGGCGGCAGTGTGCGGGCACTGCCACCGCGCCGCCTGGCCGGCAGTAGACATTTCCTCTCGCGCAGCCCGTTGGAAGGACCATCCCCCACTGTGCTTGCACCCGCATCAGACCCTTGCAGGTGTGTGTGTGTGTGTGTGTGTTTGCGGTGCTCCTCGCTGCATGCGTTTTCCTTTCTTTCTGGGACATTCTGGTTCTTTGCGCCTCAGCTGCCCACAGTGTCGTTCTTTCAGTTCTCTCTCTCTTGGCTGCGTTGTCGTTCTTTTTTTATTATTCTTTCTATACATCTCTGTCTCTCCTCGCTACACTGCCGCGGGGGACGCAGAATCCGTCAGGGCATTTATGAGCGAAGGAGTGACCTCTGCGACGGCGCAGCCGCCGCCGCAGGCGAAGTGTGAGGCGGCGTCGAAGGGGCACCATGTCTGTGAGTGCTACGGGCACACGCCGAGGCTGCCGGAGTACCGGAAACTCGCCGTCCCGCGCACGCTGCAGGGGTTTTACGCGAAGGAGGGCGGCGGCTGCCCCTGCATCCCCAAGACAAAGCCGGAGCAGGCGGGCGCGATATACTGCAGCACGAACCCCATGACGCGGGACAGGGTGATGCCGACGGAGACGTACCGCGCGTACGGCCCCGGCGGGCACAAGGTGCACCCGGAGGACGAGGCCCCGGCGGAGAGCTCCGCGGTGCGTGACCCAGCGACCGGGGCGCGGCTGGTGTTTCCCAACGCCCGCAACTACGGCGGCACGGCGACGCAGCGCCGTTTTCCGGCCATTGGCGAGCCCCGGCGAAAGACACGGGCGGAGCGGGAGTACGAGCAGATGCAGGACCGCAAGGAGTTTCTCAAGGCCGTGCTGCGGGACGAGATGCGGGACCGCCTGTGCGCCGAGGAGCAGCTGGAGGCGTTGGAAAACCAGCTCGGCCTGCGCGGCAGTCGTCACGCGCAGATGCTGAACGCGGCGGCCGCCCGCGAGGCGGAGGCCCGCGACGGCGAGGCGGAGGCGAGGACGGTGGGGGAGCAGTACGAGGAGGTGATGGAGGAGCTGCGGTACGTCACGCGGCAGCCGGTGGGGTCGAAGGTGAACCTCATCCGCATGTACTACCTCCTCGAGGAGCAGGACAGACTGAAGTACCTGCGGGACCAGGAAGCAAAGGCAGGCAACCCGCCCCGCAGCACGGCGTCCGCAAGTTGAAATATCTTGCCTGACACATTTCGGCATCTCCGCCGCGGACGCCTTGTTTCTCTTCTCTCTCTCTCTCTCTCTCTCTCTCCTTTTCACGCTCTGCGTGGACATCGTCGTCATACTGTGACCCGCTGCCCCGTTTGCTTGCCTGCCCGGCTTTTGTCTCGGTGTGTGAATAGAGTGGAGGAGAGGCTTCCCGTCTCTTCTGGCTGGGCGTCAGATGGTACGCCGTGCCTTTGACTCCGCCCAAATGTACTAGTGAGCGTCTCTCCCCTGTGAGGAGCCGCAATGTAAAGAAGCGACGCCGTCCGCGGTGGGCGTGTGTATTACGCAGGGGTCCCCTATTCCCCTATTCCCCCCTCACACACACACTCTCCCAGCGGACGTCTGTTTCCCCATCGGTGGCGCCGCTGCGTCGCCGCGCCACGGTTTGTGTCAGTCTTCCCTCGCGCCCCCTCTCGCCTCTTCCTCTCTTGCTTCTTCGCCGCGTGGGGATTGCGGGTAGTCGTTGCTTGCGCTGCCTGCCCGTTGCCTGCCGCGGCGCGTAGTTATTCACACAGACGCACAGAGACATACAAATAGGTAAGGAAAGAGAGAGAGTGAGCGATTGCGAGGGGGAGTCTGCGCGAGTGCAGGTGCACGGGGGGAGCGAGGGGCGGCGAGCTTGTGACGTCGGCGTCGCATCTTCACAGGCGCTAAAACCGCGGGCCGCATGGGCGCGGAGCAGCAAATGGCCGACGCGACGGCGGATGCCAAGCCGCAGGAGGGCGCTGCGCCGCTGCAGGGCTCCTACCCGGTGGCCTCGCGGCACCACAAGAGGCCCCACCCGAGCGCGCCCTACCGGCGCCCGGTGGCGCTGCCCAACTACAAGGTCCTCGCGCAGCCCCGCACGAACAACTACTACCACGCGACCGGCGGCTGCCCTTGCATCCCGCGGGCGGTGGCGCACCCGGGCAGCTGGCGGTTGAAGGAGGCGCAGCTGCGCTCGTCCACGGCAGCGCACCCCGCGACCTGGTCAAGGAAGCGTCCCACGGCCACGTGCTGCGTGCACTCGGCACAAACCTACGGCTGGAAGCCCGGCCCGCACACAGTCCTGGCGAAGAACACGGCCGCCTCGGGTCTCTGCGACACCTTTGGCAACATGGCCTTCAAGCGCCCAACGGGGGTGCGTGACAAGGACAGCGAGGTGAGCAGCGTCTGTGCGCAGAAGCTGGAGGACCTGGAGGCCCTCATCCTCGAGGAGCACGAGGCACGCCGCAACGTCGAGATGGACGTGGGTGAGCTGCAGGACATTCAGCGGGAGGGCACGCAGGACGACTACAAGCTGGACTACCGGAACGAGAAGCTGCGGAAGGAGGCGGCGGCGGCGTCGGAGGCGCAACTCCACGACCTTCTGCGCGAGGTCCGCGGGATTGTGAAGCGGCCGCTCAACCAGACCAACATTGACATCCTCCGCCGCGTGGTGGAGCGACAGGAGTGCCTGATGCAGCAGCGCGCACTGAAGGCGCGTGAGGACTACCCTCAAATTGTGTTCCCGTAGCGTTGCCACCGTAAAGAAGAAGAATGGGGGAAAAAAAGTAGAGGACAAGGAGAATAAAAAGCAGCGAAGGGCCCTCTTCCATGCAACTCTGCACACCAGAAAGAAACTCCATCCGAAATCCGTGTGTCGGTGCCTCTGTTGTTTTTTTTCTCTCTCCCTCAATGATGTACATGTGTTATTGTGCCCGATGTACCAAGAGACTCTACGCTGTTGACCCGGTTTCACTTAACTTTCCCTTCCACCGTTTTCTTTTGGGGGAAAAGGAGGGAGCGTGCGTTCCGTCCCTTGTTGTTGTTTTTCCCCTCACACTTCGGCTGCTCGTACGAAGTGCTGGGGCAGCACCGCTCGCAGCAGCGGACTGCATGCACGATGTGCGTTTCCTCTTCTGGTTTGTTTGTTTTTGCTTCCTTTCGGGTGGGCCGAAACAAACCTGCATGGCGCCGCCGCACGCGTCGCAGCTCTAGGCGGAGAGGTGGGGAAAAAGGAGCGGCTGGGCGGGGTCGCGGTGTCGATGATCAGGAGCTACTTTGACCTCTCCGACATTCTGGCCAACGAGGAGTCGGTCCCCGTCACCTTCCTGGTGCCGTCGTTCAGCCTGGGAAGGGACGTCCACGCACGCAGCGCCGAGGGGGAGGCGCTTGCGGAGGTGCGGGCGGGGAGCGTCGCCAGCGTTCCCTTGTGGGCCGCCGTGGCGCTCCGCCGCGAGGGGTACCTGCTGCCGCAGCTTCCGCCGCGGTACACGACGTCTGTGTTTCGCGAGTTCAAGACGGACCCGCTCGCGGTGAGCCTTTACGCGAAGTCGCCGTACTACTACGAGGCCGGCCTCCTGCTCTGCGCCATGCTCCCAGTAAACGAGGGAAACCGGCTTGCGGCGCAGCTCTTTCGCTTGTATCAGCTGCGCTACCTCAAAGTCATTCACGCCGCTGCGAAGAAGGGGTTTGACCTGAGTGACGCGCGGGAGCGGCTGTGCGAGAGTGAGCGGGACCTGCTAGACACCCTCCTGCGTGGCCTGGAGGAGGAGCGCCAGTGGCACCGCAGCGTGTTTTAGCCTTTTTTTTTTGCGGACGGGAACCGCCGACATGACAGGAGGCGAGCAACACACACGCACAGCCAAAATAGGGTTTTTGCGTACCCGTGCCTTGGCCGTTGTGGTTGTTTTATTATCATTATTACTACTTATTTTATTCCTTCCTTTCTTTTTATTTTCCTTCTCTCCCCTGCCTTGTGTTTTTTCTTTCTTGTGTGTATTGCTGTGTGTGTGTCCTTCTTTTCTCTTTTCCCTTCCTCTCTCTCTCTCACTCTCTCTCGATCCCGCGCACACTACTTTCAGTTGCGCGCGGTGCTGCGGGCGTGGGAGCAACATGGGCGGTGGCGAGGAGGCGGCGGCTGCCGGCGGCGACGAGCGGCACGTGGTGACGGAGGCCGCCTTGGAGCGGACGGTGAACAACGCCACCGTCTTTCGCTACCCGTTCAGCGCGATGGACCTTGGCTGGCTGGTGGGCTACATTGACGCGTTTCTGATGAAGTCGGAGCGGTGGGCGGCGGCGATGCGCATCACGACGTGCTTCATGACCTTCACGGTGCTGCACGAGGACCCGCTGATGGAGGACGCCACCTTTCAGCTCCACAAAACGATGGTGGAGAGGAGCATTAAGAAGAGTTGGCCCAGGCGGAATCGCGACCTCAGCAACGCCTTTGACGCCGCGTACCACGTGTTCGAGACCATCTGCATCGTCGCCAAGTACCCCAACCTTGAGCCGGCCGGCAAGGTGGGGATTCTGCGCATGAGTGAGAAACTCATCCAGGGCATGGAGAAGCCGCTGGACACCCCCCTGCTTAACGTGGACGCCAAAAAGCGAAGTGAGGCTTTGAGTGCCACCTTTGCGCGGCTGCAGGCGTTGGGGCGGGCGCCGGACTCGCTTGACGCGTTCGACGCGCTAATGGCCTCGCTGAAGATGGTCTTTGCCTGCTACGCGGCCTCGCTGGGCGTGCACAATTTGCTGCAGGACGCCAACGTGAGTCACATGAACTCGTACGTCTGCTGCGAGGGGTGCCCCTGCTACGCCAAACTTCGCACGACGTACACCCTCTTCATCCGCGACGTGGAAAAGACGAAGGTGATTGACTGCCTGCTCATGATGGCCGTGAAGGAGGAGGACGCCTTTGTGAGCAAGTTAGCGGAGGGATTGTTCACGCAGTTTGACTGTCGCAGTCCGTTTCTTGAGAAGCCGGTGCGGCGCATCCAGAACGGGGCTCTGTTTATGGTGCGCATCGCCCTCTTTGACGCCTTACGGCACATCAAGGCGGTCCTGATGGACCCCCGCGCCTCCCCGGCCCGCCTCGCGCCGCAGCTGGACAACGTCGTCCTCGCGCTGTGCATCGCGCGGCGGGAGATGAAGGCGGTGAGGGGCCTCAGCGAGCACCCCCCGCTGGTCGACAAGGCGCTGGCAACCGCTGACAGCATCTACCCGCGCCTGGGCGCGGAGAAGGCGTCGCAGGAGCTGCGCACCTTGATGGAGTACGTCGCCAAAATATTTGCCCTCGTCAGCGCCCCGCAGTTCCACCTCGCCGTGCATAGCAAGGACCCGCTGGTGGGGAAGGGGGCCAATTTCTGCTGCGGCAACCCCAAGTGCCCGGGGCAGGTGAAGGAAATGCTGAAGTGCAGCGGGTGCCGCGTTACCTTTTACTGCTCCGTCGCCTGCCAGCGGGACGACTGGAAGACGCACCGCTTCCTTTGCAAGGAAATGGGAAGCCGCAGAGCGGCGCCGACGCCAGTCAAGACGGCGGAGTGCCCTATACAAACCTTGAAGCCCGCGGCCTTCCGCGTGTGAGGTGAAAGGGGAGGAAAGACCATCCAAAAAAAAAAAAACAGAAAGAGAGGCGAAATAAGAGGAGGGAGTAAAAGGAAAAAACAACAACAGCAGGTTATGTCACAGAATTTGGGCCACTCCCCGCCCTCTGCGCGTTTGCGTGTGTGCATTTATGTCCTCGGCGACGCCAAAAAAAAAAAATGAACGCGTTGCTCTTTGTCCGCTCGTCTTTCTTCATTCCCGCCGTTTTTTTGGCTGCCGCCCCCTCCCCCGCACTCCACTCAAGCGAAAAAAAACACACACACCACGTTCCATGAGAGCAGAGAATACACACACACACATGCGCAAGTCCCTGGCGAATCCGGCGGCCACCTTGACATGGTGCCAGGGCTCAGTTCCTCGCATCGAGGGAAGCCAAGGGCCGGCGGCCAGTCCCTTCGACTCGTTGTTGGCCCCCCGGTGGCGGTAGTTGGCCTTTTTTGGGCGCCGCCGTGCGCAGGGGGCCCGGGGCAAGTGCAGTGGGCTTCCCGCCCAACAGCTGCGCGCGCCCAAGTGCGGCGACATCTCTCGCGCTGAGTTCGCATCGGTAAACTAATGGAATACTCCCCACATTCGGTGTGACGGAGGGCCCGCAGCGCCTCGAACGCCCCTGCTGTTTGCGGGTCGAGCATGTTGGGCGGGCTGTTCGTCGCGTGAGGGCGGCGCGCCGTATCGAAGCGGCCCCTCTGCTTCCGAGCGGCGCGCGGTCAGCAGCTGCCGCTTGCGAGAGCCGGGCGCCCGGCCGGATCCCGGCCCCGGCGAAAAGGGCGGGCCCGGTGGAGGGAGGGCGGAGTGGCCCTGAGAGCGCGGGGGGAGGCGGCGTCCGACGGCAGCGCCCCACAAAGAACGACCACGCGATGACCGTGAAGCGGGCGCGGCGGAACCGGTGCCGGAGGTTCCTCGGCGCGATGTGTGCGCAGCGCCCGCGCCGCCCCCCCAACCCGTCGCCACCGAGCGCGCGCCCGAGGCGGCCGCGCCGGCAGAATTCACGGCTCGGGCGGGGCAAGGCACGCGAAAACTTCGCCGTGGTTCACGAACAGCTTGTGCTTGAGGGGCACTTGCTTCCCCGCGCGGCCCGACAACCCAAATTCGGTCTGGGGGGTTGGGGGCGCCCGGGCTCTTTTTAGTAAACAACCGGCCCGGCTCTTTTGTGGCCTGCTCGGCCCCCAGCCCCGAACCGTTTCCCCGCCCGTGGCGGCAATACGTGTGTAAACGGCGTCGCCCGCCCGTTGGGTGGAGGGGGCGCCCTTTATTCTTTTCTTCTTCCACCCTCGCTTCGGCTTCGAGCACACTCCTCCGGTTGGGGCGCGATGTGCGCCATAACCGAAGCGCATCGCGGCTTCTTTTCTCGCTTCCCCCGAAGGGCGGCGCAAACGAATCCGACAAGAGAGCTCGTG